CTCCCTCTCCCTCTCCCTCTCCCTCTCCCTCTCCCTCTCTCTCTCTCGCCGCTCCTCTCTGCGGTCTGGAGCCATCACGATGCCACCGGTTTATAGAGCCGGGGGGACTCGCGGGACAGGCCAGGCCGCCAGGCCCCAACAGTTGCGCGCCGCTCGCGCCAGAGTTACATCCTATGAAGGTACACTCGTCTAACCATCCAGCAGAGTGACGCCCTCTCCTCTTGTAAGACGGCCGCCGGATTCGACCAAAAAAAATTAAAGAAAATAGTAAAAATAAATAACAGTAAAGAAAATGTCACACGACGTGCATCACAAACAATTAAAAAACAAAAAAGAAAGAAAGAAATATTGTAGTGGGCATAGAATAGTTGACATTGTGCGTGTCATGCGTCCTGGAAGGCGAGGAGCCTGACGCGTCGCGTCCCCGGGTCTATATGTAAATGCCGGCACACGCGCCGTACATGCCGAGCAGCAGGCACTAAATATTCAGTTGAATTTTTCCAGAGTGCCGCAGCAGCTCCGCGGATGCCGCATATGATGACCGACAGGGCGTTTCTCACCAAAATGTACCCGACAAAATAATTAAATGTCCTTTCGTCTTTCAAACCGCCACCATAAAATCAAATCAAATTCAGTCATATCAGAGGGCTTTGGCCGTTTTTAAATTTACCGAACTTACACGTGTCATTTTAGTAAAGTCCTGTGGTTTTATTTGAAACCTTTTTCTATAACCAGCATAGCAGCGTGTGCTTGGTTAACCTAAACGAACAGCCTCGAGTAAAATACCGTGAAAAAGTATCCCACCCGTCAGGACGGGAATGGTCCAGAAAGAACCTCCCTTTCCTGAGATGCAATCGTCAAATTACGGGGTAAGCTTGGCGCCTGTGAGACTCGGGGTAGGCCACCCCGCACTACTCGCACGCACTGCAGGCGAGATGTTGCCTACTTGTTAGGCGCTATGAGAGCTGCCAGAGGGTGGACTTGGCAGCTTCGTGAACACAATCGTACTTTCTACATGACCTCTCAACGCTGACGCACCCTGAAAAAGATCCTCGTAAATTTACGATATTTGTTGTCATTTTTATCTTCAAAATATGTTGTAAATTAGCGATAGCCCATTATTGCTTGTTGGTCAGTTCCAAAGTCGATACGAAGTGCTTGTAAATGTAAAATTTCAATCTGTAATTTTACCACATAGGTACACACACTGTGGTAAATTTACCGCAAACCTACGACAATTTTTTTTCATTTTTCACATTAAAACATGTACGGGAAATGGAAATTGTTACAAAGTTAGAATCCAACACTGGGGAGCTAAAGTCTTACCTGGACAGCGCCAGACGCCGAGAGGAGACTGAGGCCAACGCACTCGCGTCCAAACACACACACTTCACTCACACACAGTGTCACTCGCGCGTCACATCACTGAGGCGTACCGCAGGCGTACCGCAGGCGTGCAGCAGTCGTACCACAGGCGTACCGCAGGCGTACCGTACCCTCCGCGCAGCCGTCTCCGCCCGACTGGCGAGCGTCCATGCAGCCCGGCTGGCGCAGCCCGGCGGGGCGGGGCGGGGCTCGGTGGGGCGGGGCGCGGTGGGGACGCCCTGCGTCGCGTCCCCCCCCCCTCCCCCTTTTCAGGGCCCTCTGCCCTACTGGAGCACCTAGCGTTCTTTATGTCGTCTAGGCCCTCCTGGAGTAGTACTTCTGGGAGGTGCCAAATAGCACGGGCTTTCCTCATGATGAACCGCTCGTGCACTTTTCGAGTCTTTGTTTTCCACGTCCCAATCACCGCGTCCTCCGCCAGCGCAAAGAAGCCCCTTTTTGAAGCCGTGCACATTGACGACAGCGGCTGCACCAATAGACAACAACTTCACCCCGTTCATTTCTTTTATTTTCAGGTAACGAGAGTTTTTTCAGCACCCCTGCCAGCATGCCCGGGCGACCCGCCGACTGCCCCGTGTGCGGCAAGACGATTTCGAGGAGCGGCAATCTAATCGAGCATCTGCGAACCCACACGGGAGAGAAGCCCTTCGAGTGCGCCGTCTGCAGCAAGACGTTTGTGAGTGCTGCGCGACTGAGGGCGCACCTTCGCACCCACACCGGGGAGAGGCCATACGAGTGTACTGCTTGCGGCAAGAAGTTCTCGCAGACTGAACACCTACGAGTACATCTACGCACCCACACGGGCGAGAGGCCCTTTGAGTGCAACGTGTGCAGAAAGAAATTTACGTTCAGAAGTAATCTGCAGTCACACTTGCGCATGCACAGAGGAGAGAAGCCGTTTCGGTGCTCGGTGTGCAACAAAAAGTTTGCGCAGAGTGCACAGCTGCGAGCGCATTTTCGAACTCACACGGGAGAGAAGCGTCTGGAGGAGTGCACGGTGTGCAGCAAGAAGTGCTCTAGTGGTGCCAGCCTGAAACTACATCTTCGAACCCACACGGGAGAGAAGCCTTTTGAGTGTAATCTGTGCGACAAGAAATTTGCTTACAGTTCAAGTTTGCGCTCGCATCTCCGAGTTCACACAGGGGAGAGGCCTTTTGCGTGTACGGTGTGCGACAAGAAATGTCATAGTAGTGGCAGCTTGAAAGTACATCTCCGAATCCACACCGGAGAGAAGCCTTTTCAGTGTAAGCTGTGCGACAAGAAATTTGCGCACTCTTCAAGTCTGCGCGTGCATCTCCGAAATCACATAGGGGAGAAGCCTTTTGCGTGTACGGTGTGCGACAAAAAATTTGCGGGTAGTGGCAACTTGAAACTACATATCCGAATCCACACCGGAGAGAAACCCTTTGAGTGCACAGTGTGCAACAAAAAATGTCAATCTAGTGGCAGCCTGAAAGTTCATCTTCGAACGCACACAGGAGAGAAACCCTTTCAGTGCACGGCCTGTGACAAGAAATGTGCAACAAACAATCAGCTGGAAACCCATTACAGAATGCACACAGGCGAGAAGCCTTTTGAGTGCGCGGAGTGCAACAAGAAATTTGCGCAAAGGAGTAATTTGCGTACTCATATGCGAACTCACTCAGGCCAGAAGAATTTTGAGTGTAACTTGTGCAACAAAACATTTGCTAGTACTTCACAATTGAACGTTCATCTTAAATCCCACGTCGCAGAGAAGGCCTTTGAATGTGCGGTTTGCTTCAAGGCATTTGCGACAAGTGGGAATCTCCGTGCACATCTCAAAACACACAGGACTTTGGATATGCGCGAGCCCGTTCTAACTCCTGAAGATAACCCATCTAAATCTTTGCCCCATAAGACATTGCCTGAATCTGGAATCTGCTCAGACGAGAAGACATTCAAGTGCACTGAATGTAATAAAACGTATACGTCGGAAAAATCACTCAGGACACACCTTTTTCTCCATTTGGAAGAAGCTCTGGGTTTTCAGTGTACTGTGTGCAATAAAAAGTATACGAGGAAATCTGCACTTCAGGAACACCCCAGGTAGCACAAACATATCCAGGGGTTATCGCCCGGCAATCGCCGGCGATTTTTATTTTTCGCCGCGATATCGCCGGCGATGTTTTACGGATATGAGGTTTGGCACAAATAGCACTGTCGCCTCGATGTCGCCTGATGACAAAGATTCGACAACTTGGCGGCGACATCGCTCGAGCACTATCGCCGCGACGAAGCAAGCGATGAAATGGCGACAGACTTTTCAACGGGTCTCGAACGATGTATGTCGCCACTATAGGGAATCGATGTAGATAGTAATTGATTGCCGATGTAGTATCGCCTGGCTATCGCTAGTCTTTCCGTTTGTGCATGTGCCCGTGGCGAGAACTTTGAGTTATCCGAGCGATACAAAAGTTAAAGTTATGTCAAAAATGTCGTCGCCTAGACATCGCCACGTTTGCAAACCAGCGGTATATTTTAGGCGACAAAATAGCGATATTGAGGCAATATATATTCGGAACTATAATTCGATGAAAAAAATTGAAAGAATTTACCTTGGCTAGACTCGAACCACATACCTTTGTGTTACTGGACAGCTGCCTTGACCATTCAGCTACGGGGTACCCGCTGAGACCCGGGCGTCAGCTACCGGTGTGCCTCTCTTTCTCGGGGACTTTCCCGCGCGCGAGCGACAGACCAGCAGACCAGCGAGTCGGCTGAGACATCTTTCAGATATCTCCAAGTCATCGCCAGGGCGAAAATGCATGTGGAAGACTTAGCGAAATTCGTCAGCCGTGCGATACTAGTAGCTTGCTAACCAGAGAATATCTGACAGATATCCGCACATGTGCGTATTTGTGGTTAATTTTGGAGATACAGAAAGAATAGCGCCTCGATATCTACCCCGCATCAGTGCTAGCCCAGGTGTTCTCTCGCCAGGTCAAGGTATCGCCAGCTTATCAAAATATTTCATGCAAGCAATAATTCTTTTTCATCTGGTGAGCGACATACTTTATCCCATATCGCGGCGATAACTCTAGGCACCAAAAGTTAATTTGGTGGAAAGTTGCACAGCGCATAGTTATCGGAAAATTATCGCCTGAGCGTCATCTAATGACGGATATCCTAGCGATAGAGTTTTGGCGAGCATTAATTTGATCCTACTTCCATATCTACTAGTTATCGTGTCACCATCGCCAGGGCGAAAACGCCATCGGTATGTCGAGGCGATAAACGTAAGCGACAGCACGGCGACATCTGGTACATTTTATTTAGAGAATATCGAACAGATATCCACAAAAGTATGTATTAAAGTAGACATCGACAGGATGTCGCCTCGCTCTCCGCCAGGCGATAGTGTTTAAATGATATCGCCAAGTCATCGCCGCTCCAACCTCCAGGCGACTCATCATCGCCCGATATCGCCGTGCTACATGGGACACTCTTGTCCACGGGGAAACTCCTTTTCAGTGTACTGTATGCGATAGAAAATTTTCATCCAGTGTTGCACTGCGTTACCATCTCCGGATCCACACAGGAGAGAAGCCATATGAATGCACTATCTGCAATAAGAAATTTTCCCGTCTGTGGACTTTGAGAACACATCTTCGCCTGCACACCGGAGAGAGGCCTGCTCGGTGCACCGTGTGCAGCAAGACATTTCGAACTGCTTCCTATCTGACGATGCACCTCCGAACGCACACGGGAGAGAAGCCCTTCACGTGCAACGATTGCGGCATGCAGTTTGTAGTTGGCGGCGCTCTGAAGGCTCACATCAAATGCGTTCACGCCAAGACCAGAGATTTCGAGTGTACTGCGTGCAGCAAGAAGTTTTCGACTAGTGGGCACCTGCGTACACATCTGCGCACGCACACGGGCGAGCGGCCCTTCGCGTGCAGTGTGTGCAACAAGAAATGTTCGACCCCTGCTGCTTTGCGAACACACCTACGAGTACACACTGGCGAGAAGCCCTTTGAGTGTTCGGTGTGCAGCCGGAAATTCGTGCACAGCTGTTCTCTGAAAGCTCATCTCAAGGCCCACACTGGCGAGAACAAGCCCAGGGTTGTTACAGACCGTGAAATTCGGGAATAACAAAATGGGTCAGGGGAAATTCGGGAAAATTGAGAGAGCAGTCGGTAAAATTTCTCCGGTTGACTGCCTCCTTGCAAATGAATGAGTGGAAATGCGTAAAATTGTCGCTCGAGCTGCGGCAGCGGCACTTGCACGGCCGTGCCGGCGCAGCCAGTCGTTGCTTTTTTTGTGCATACTCTTGTTTTCAGTTATATTTTCCCTTCCGTTGTTCGGAATACTGCCTACTTTATGGCCTCAAAAGTCAGTACAAATCGGGATTTGGGTCAGGAAAAAGTCAGTACAATTGAAAATATGGAACCTGTAACAACCCTGAAGCCGGTGTGCCACAAGAAGTATGAACGCAGCAGGTCTCTAAAACCTCATCTCCAAGCCCACGCTGAGACCGCTGGAGATGCGTAGAGTACGAAGGATTTGTTTACGAAGCGTGTGTTTGTTCCTTTTCTACGTGTTCAGGATTATAGTTTTTGACCCCTGTGCCGAGGAATGTTTTTTCACTGTTCACCTTTCCTCTATTTTGTGCTGCTACAAGTCAAGTTTGACGAAACGCTTTGCGACTGCCTTGTCGGTGGTTCGACTGTCGTACCCGAAATGTATCTGTAAATTGCCAAAAATGTCCAATAAAAAGAAAATTAAAAACAGATGCTCTTTCACTTTATGGGATGTGTATTAATCGTTAACCCGTACCCTTTTCCTCGATTTGTTTTTTTTTACCCCCACAGAAATCATAGTTCACGTCATCATCTCTCTTGAAGCGGGTGCGAAAGCGCGCGACGCTTGTCGCTGTGAACCTTATGGCTCGGCCTTAACCATACCGACCGCCGCTGAAGCACGTCGCCACCTCGGCGTGTCGTGAAAACCACGAAAATGTCATTTTGCCGGTGGGAGCCGCAGTGACCTGGCGAGGCGGGACGGGGAGGCTAGGTCACAGGCGCGTTGCAAACCTCAGCCTTTCCAACCCCCACCAGAGCAGGATTTAAATTAGCAATCATCGTGCAGTGGGCGGGGTGGGGTGTGGCGGGGAGGTGCTCTCCCTTTCGAAACGACTCGGTGGCTCCCGCCGCCGGCGGCCCCGCCCCGCCCAGCACCGCGGCAGCAGACGACGCACACGACATTTGGTGATATGGTACAGGACCCGGACCCCAACCTGGTGGTAACGGTGAGCTCGGCGGCGGTGGCCTGCTCCTCAACGGGACCGGCTCTGCCGCCGCGGCTCTACCCGCCGCGGGTCCCTCCTGCTCGGCGCGAGCCTCACCTTGTGGCTCCACAACGCGAGAATCGCAACAACAGATTAGGGCCAGTGTTACCGTTTGCCACCGCGAGCCGCCGCCGCCTCGGCGCCGACAAGTGTTACGGGCACGTCCGTGTGTGTGTGTGTGTGTGCGGTGAGCGCTTCCTCAGAACGCTCTTGCAAACTGGAAAAAGTTTCCTACGGAAAACACTTTTTTTCTCATTTTTTTTTTATTTCATTTTAAAGCGTGGGTACATTTTTTTTTTAACCTTTGACGCGCTTCGATTTGGTTTAGGGTGAATATAATAGAAAGCCTGTAGACTCTATGGCAAAGTCAATCCCCAACCTATTGATCAGAATTTAATTATCTACCGTGATACATTTAAATCACAATTTTCCCCCAATAAACACCGTGCTCATAGTGAAGAGCCGTGATAAAAGTACCCCCCCTGCTCGTGGTGGTGGTGGCGCTCGGTTGACTGGGCCGTTCACCCCGCGGTTCCCACGCACGCCCCGCCCCGCCGCCGGCGCCGCCACAGGGCCGCGCGCCCGGCGGCAGAGAGTCGGCAATATCTGCCAATAAGGAGGAAGCTCGGCTCCTGGGGACTCGCCTCCGTGATAAACGTACCCCCCGTGGGTAACGTTTCCACGCTTTTTTTTTTAATTTTCCAAATAATTATTTGTTGGTAAAAAATGGAATAATTTTTTTAAAAATCCTGAGCAATTTAATTTATTTTTTCAATTTTTCTGGACGGATTTCAAATTTTTGGAGGGAGAGTTTACAAGTTTTCGTACATGAAAAAATAATCCCTAGCGCTGTGATGAATGTATCCCCCTCAATGGTGCAAACTTTTACCCCGGGGGGTGGGGGTACGGTTATCACGGGCCGAGTGCGCCGCCGGTGCCGCGGACGCTTACCGGCTGCTTACGGTGGGAGACGCACCGCTAAATACACATCAAGGGGGGCCGGGCCGCGCTCGGTTCCCATGCGCTCTGCGTCCGTGCGTGCGTGCGTGCGTGTGTGTGTGTGTGTGTGTGTGTGTGTGTGTGTGTGTGTGAAGCCCAAGTAACTCGAATTATAAAATCGCGCACAAGAGCGAGAAAAAGAGAGAACGACGACTGCAGAGAGGGTATATGTCAGAGGGGGCTGTACCTAAACCATATGGTAGTAGGCATTTTTAGATGGTGAGGGGAAGGGGGTATTTTCATCATGGGTGTATGATGGATCATCGTCATGGATAAGATAAAAGACTGTCGAGTTCGCGCTGTGCTTGACCTCTGACCCCCCGCGACGGTTTGTCGCGCGTTGCGGATTACCTCCAGGGGGGGTCTTCGCCTAGCGATATGTTTTATGGTGACTTGATGGCATGGCCCGCCTAACCGCTTTTTTGGTCGGGTGGGGCGGGCGGGGGCCGCAGCGCAGGACGCCAGCAGCAGGAAGCCTCGCG